ACATAGATAGAGAACAATTATTACCACCCCCTTTTATTTTATCATCAATCTAAATAACACTAAAAGCTTGTTGTATGTTCTGTGACAGCTCATGTTAGGTCCAACACAAGTGGGTTAAAATATGCACTACTGGGGTGTGTGTCTGTGAGTGCTTCCAGAGGAAAGAGCCTGTGGTCTGAGTGGACTAGGGGGAAAACCAACCCAGAGCGGACGGCCAAGCGGGCAAGAAAGACAGGGAAAAGACAAATGTGTTCATCCATTGCCTGAGCTGGGATACAGTCCTCTCCTGCCTTTGGACACCAGAACCAGGCTCCCTGGCTTTTGGACTCCAACATTCACTAGCAGAACTTTGGGTTCTCAGGCCCTCAGCCTCAGACAAAGAGGTAGACCTTCACCTTTCTCACTGGGGCCTCTGAACACAACAGAGTCACACTACTGGCATCCCAAGCTCTCCAGCTTACAGATGGCTGCTGTAGAATTTCTGTCTCCATAATCACATGAGCCAAACCCCCCAATACATCTCATCTACCTACCTATCCATCTCCCAATCCATCCATCCATCCATCCATCCATCCATCCATCCATCCATCCACCCATCCTCTATCTCCTATTGATTCTGCTTCTCTGCAGAACCCTGAATAGTATGCATTCCATTATTGTCTTAATTAATCTAGAAGTGAAGCCAGGCAGGGTGGTGCATGCCTGTAATCCCAGCACTTCAGAGGCTGAGGCAGGAAGATCACCATGAGTTTGAGGCCAGCCTGTGCTACATAGTGAGTTCAAAACCAGCCTGAACTGCATAGTGAGCCTCTGTCTCAAAAAACAAACAAAACTCTAGAAGTAAAGTAATCCAAACAAAGAAAACAGATAACTGGAGCTATAAAAACTAAGAAGAAAAAAAACGAGGAGTCACATAGTTCCAGGTAACCTGCATCCCAAACCACAAGTTATAAGGTAAGTAAATAAAATCCACTTGCATTGAGGCCGCTTTTTCATATTGGTTTAACCTTTACTGTGGATTTGCTGCATTAAAATCTGCTGGGGGTGGGAGTTCTGCTCAGAGATAAAACACTGTGTCGTATGCAAGAGCCCTGAGCTTGATCCCCAGCACAGCCCCCAAAAAATCTTTCTTAAAATTAAAAATAAATACATTTTTAAAAGAAAATATTAAAGTATCCGCTGGATACTTACTTAGGCCTCTTCCAAGTCTCACAGTGCACTGAGTGTAACCAGCATGCTCAGCGGCAGCAACACCACACTATTTGAACATCAGAAGTCAAGGTCCTAGGCCCACCAACTGATCTAAGGGTAGAAAGTGCAATTCTGTGGCTTCCGCAAACACTCAAGGTAACTTCTGAACCCCACTTTAAGGTCTTTTCCCTCTAGGAACACAGACCATCACAGTAGTAATTGGAATAGAGGCATAAATTAAAAGAAAACGTTCTTCATTTGGCTTTCTGAAAGGCGAAAAAAATCATACAAGAACCCCCGCCCCCATCCCTAATTATGGTTTCCATTACTTGTGGTCTACTGTGGCTTAAAAATATTAAGTAGGTCTGGGAATATAGCTCAGTGGGACAAGCGCCTGCCTAGCAAGCACCAGGTCCTGAGTTCAATTCCCAATACCAAAATAAAATAAAATAAAATAAAATGACGATCAAAAATATTAAATAGAAGCTGGGTGCGATGGTGCATGCCTGTAGCCCCAACATTTGGGAGGCTAAGGCAGGAAGAGCACCATGAAACTGAGGCCAGCTGGGGCTACACAGAGAGTTTAAACCCAATCTGGACTACACAGCAAATCTCTGTCTTAAAAACAAAACAGAGCACAAAAATTAAACAGAAAACTCCAGAAATAATTCATAAGCTTAAATTGCAGACAATTCTGAGTACTGTGATGAAATACTGTGCTGTCTCTCTGTCCCAACAGGACAGAAACAGTCTCTTTTGACCAGAATTCTATACTGTGTACACTACCCTCCCATTAGTTACTCCATACTCATCTCAGTCATCAGCTCAGCTGTCCTAGTATCACAGTGCCATGAGCTATTTTATTAAATAAAATAAGTAACAATTATTTTATTTAATAATAGCCCCAAAGTGCAAAGGTAATGGTTCTGGCAATTTAGATAAACTAAAGACAAGACATAAAGTATTTCCTTTAAGTCAAAAGGTGAAAGTTAACCGTAAGTATACATGTACAGAAAAAATGATATATATAGGGATCAGTGTTATCTGTGGTTTCAGATACCACTTGGGGTCTTTTTTGAAAAATTAAATTTATGGGTACAATTTAGACGTTCATAATGATCACATGCATCATAGGGAATTCGTACCGTATATGATATATCTTGATTCCATTTTTCCATTCTCTTCCCCTCCCTTCAACCTCTCTTCTCCTCCTTCTTTACAAAGCTTTGTTTCCATTTCATCCTTCTTTTATTGTTTTTTTTTCATTTCCCTTCCTTCCTTTCCCTCTTCCCACTCCCTAGTTCCCTTTCTTTTGAAGCATTTCTTCCTATTTCACAATACCTACTATAGTCTTTGGTCCTTATTTACACTTTTGGTTTCATACTCCAGAGAAACAATGTGATATTTACATGTGTGACAAATGTGTTTCACTTATGAGTATGGTCTCAAGGTGCATCAATTTACCTAGAAATGTCTCAAGTTGCTCTTTCTTTATGGTTAGTACTATTTCATTGCATTAAAAAAAAATCTTTTTTATCCATTCCTCAGCTGACGGGCATTTGGACTGTTTCCAAGATTTAGCTGTGCTGCTATAAACATGGATGCCCATACATCACTGTGGTATGATGTTTTTACTTCTTCCGCGAAGATACCCAGGAGAGGAGTAGCTGGGTCAAATGGAACCTCTAGTCCTAGTTTCTTCAGCCATCTCCACACTGATTTTCACAATGGCTGCACCAGTCTATACTCCCACCAACAGTGGAGAAGGGTTCCTTTTTTCCCCACAACCTCTCTTAGCATTTGTTATTGATTGTTTTCTTGATAACAGCCATTCTTTCTGGAGTGATGGAATCTCAGTGTTGTTTTAATTTGCATCTCTTGAATGACTGGTGATGTTGAACATCTTTTCATGTATTTATTTGCCATTTATATTTTTCCTCTGAGAAGTGTGTATGCATCTCAGATGGGTCTTTAAATTTATGGAGGTCTGATTTTTTTCAATTCTTTATAGATACTACTCCCTTGTCTGAGGGACAATTGGCTAAAATTTAATACCTGGGGTCTTGAACTTGCATTCCCATGGATAACTGGGGACCACTGTCACTTATTTTCTATAGATTAAGCATTCTAATCTACATGAAGGGCAATCTGATTTCACCATTTGACCAAAGACTGTCTCCATTTTGATCTCCACTGTGTCTAGCACCAGTGTGCAGCACACACTATATGCTCAACAAACATTCATTAAGTTATTGTGATTTGGGCCAGAGCTCCTCATACACAGAAATGAATTTGGTTCACCTGGAGTAGCTGATGGGAGAGGAGAACATGCATTAGATAACACAGATGGATTCTCAGATGCAGAGACAGGACTATAAAAAGAATGTGATCTCATTTAAGGTATCTGACCTTTCCAAGTCACATACCACTCTTCTACGGGGCGAGGGAGGCGATTCTGTGACATCAGCTGCCAAGAAACCATTCAAGTGTGGTGTGAAATGTACAAATACAGACTCCAGAGCAGTTGATGTGAAGAGAAAGGAAGATTCTGAAATGGGGACATTACCTGCAGCACTGATTTGTCAGTCTGTGACTAAGTGAAATCACCTGGAAGAGGGCAGTCCATTTGAAAGCAAGGCAAGAAAGACAACGAGCAAGAAGCAAACTGTCAGTCTACAGGTCTTACATGTCGTTATTCCAGACTTCAAAATCTATCATGTATACAAGCTATTATTACCAAACACATTCTGGAATGTTACTTAACGCAGATGCTAGTGAATCCATGGCATAGTAATAAAAAAAAAAAAATGCAAGATTTCTTTTAGAGGGCTCTCCGGCAACGGTTTGCAGAAAACTCATAAACACAGGATAGTGCAGCACCTAAGCCAATGTTTTAAAGGATCAAAAAGACTTGGTAAGGACAGAGAGAGCAGAGGTAAAACATGCTACATTTAGAAAACAGTTCTACGTACTAATGAACATGACCTTCATCTAGAGAGCTGCAAAGGAGTCTTAACCGCAGCAGAAGGCCTTGCAGAGCAGGGAGGGGGTGTGGATCCGCACATGCATCTCCGGAGCTCTGCTAGAGCAGAGCAGGCCGCTGGATGTCTTAATGTGCATGAGGAGCCCCCTGGGCTGAAATGGGAAACATGAAGGGCACCCCTGGGATCCCAGGAAGCAGGCAAACAAATCTAGGAGAGATCAAAAGTTGTTCCAGTTTCAAAAGGAGGAGGCGGTGGCCTGGAAAGGAACTCAAAGCCATGTGCCTCAGCTAAGTTGGGAATACTCTCAGGCACCTGGGCGGGGAGGTCCCGCACCGACTCTCGGTCCTGCCCCGTCCACTTTCCCCAGGCCCTCATGGATCAGTGGCTGGAAGACCAAGGTGTGTTCTGCAGGCCTCGAAATGCCCTTAGAGAGGAGAAAGGCTCTGCCCAGCTTGAAGAATCCAGGGGTTGTGAGTAGCACTGTGGACAGGGGCAGCAGAGCAGGCGCTGGGAGCAGCAGCAGGCAAACAACTGGGAGAGGAAGCCGCCTAGGAAGCACTGGCTCTGCCCAAAGCTCCTTGGGGAGAAGCAAGCGTGACCAAGGAAGCAGTGGCCGTGAATGACAGCCCCGCGTGCACCTCCTGGGGAAAACTGTCATGGCCTCTGCAGAGAACACGAGCGTCCTCAGCATCCCTGGGAATCAGAGCCACACTAACCCAGAACTGCAGGAACAACAGAGGGAGGGCACAAAAACCACCAGGAGTGTCTCACCCCCGACCATGCTGAAGGCTGGTGTGGCCTCTACAATGATAAACGCACACTCACGTGCTTCCAGAGCCAGGGGGCTTTGGACAACTTCATAAAGGTCAAGTGAGGCTTAAAACTTCTGCTTTCTCCTGCCAGGACACCTTTTTCTTGAAACGTTCTCTTTGCAATCTCTGAAAAACATCAAAAGAACACAACAATGCTATTTTAACTACACAAGCGTTTGAAATTAGCAGTTTCAGTTCCAGAAAAATACAAAGCAATAGAAGTACCAGGATCTAAAATCCTATATAGAAGACACTCATTAAAAAAATATCCTGAATTAGCACAGATTGGAAATAACCATCAATAAAGAAATGGTTGATATGTTAGCATACAGCTAAGCCTGGCGTGATGGTGCACACCTGCAATCTTAAACTCGGGAGGCTGAGGCAGGAGGACTGCAGTGAGTTCAAGGCCAGCCTGTACTATAAAGCGAGATCCCATCTCAAAAAAAAACCAAAAAAAAACAACAAAAAAAACTACACATATGGATCTCAAAACTGACAATATATTAGCAGTTTGATATTTCTATGAGTACACAAGCACTACACCACAATACACAAGTAGAACTCTTTGCCATAAACGTAAAAACTCATTCTCTGAAGACTATTATAAGTAGTTTTTTGTTTGTCTTTATCCAAAAGTAATGGGGGCTGACTATAGTGAGGTGGTTTTAAAGACAGCGGAACACGAAGAAGTGGACCCTCAAGGTCTCGCCCCTCATCAGTGTGGAGAAGGAGCTGCAGCCCCGGTGGCCTAACTTCTTTCTGGTCACATTTCTTTCTAAAGTTCTGGGCCCCAGAAACTCTTAAAAATAAAAATAAAAAAATGTTTTTCAACACACTATGAGAATCGAAAGTCTGCTTTCGTTTTAACCGCCAGTCCTGCGGGAGTCTGGAGATCACTACAGATGCAAGCAAGTATACCCAGAAGTACGTGGATGAAAACAAAGCTCAGCCTCTCTCCGTCCTGCCTGACCTCTCCCTACACAGTGGAAGATTTCAGTTCTCCTGCCTGGGAACCTAAAACGAGACAGACGTGCGGGTGAATCAAACAAAGCCACCACAGCACCCTTCCTGAGAAAAGGAAAGGTTCGGCTAGCATCGCTGGTCCAGTGAAAATAATAAAATAATGTGAATATCATTTGCAGAGAATAGCAGCCTCGAAATGGAAATCCCAGGACAGAAGAAAAACCTCATGGATGCTTTTTCTTTACGGATGACCAGTCTTTCAGTGCTGTCAGCGACATCTGCCGCGGGTGCCACCGTGCTGGGCTGGCCGGTCCTCAGAGGTGAGCTATACTATTCTCATTTTAAAAAAATGAAGACACTGACTGAAATGTCAGTAGTTTACTCAAAAATCCTAAGCCAGGTAGTGAGGAGGCTAGAATTTGAACTCAAATTTAACTAACTGTAAAGTTCACCCTGCCTCCTACATAAAGAACCCAAAATCTTTTTTCTCCTGTATCAGAAATGTTCTCCAAACAAAACTTAAAGGTAGCTGAGATAAAAACTTGTACACCAGATCTGAAGTACAGTCAACAAACTCCAGAGTGATCTCTCATTCAATCAACCAATATTAAGAACCTACTATACGCCAGCTAAGATTCTAGGTGGTAAAGAAAAACAAACATAAGACTCCCTGCCCTCACAGAGCTCCCATCTATCCTGGATGCCACAAACAAACACATAAAATAAGGTCAAAAATTGATAGCTGAAAGGAAGAAAAGCAAAATCAAGGAAAGGGTACAAAGTGACACAAAAGAAAACCAGGCTGGTACTTCGGTAAGGGAGTCTGGGAATCCCACTCAGAATACACCACATTTGGGCTGAGAGGACAACCCCAGGTGCACCTGGGGAACAGCACTTGGGGGAAGGAATGGCTTCTAAAGGGACAGAGCGCTGGAATGGGCGTGTCCACAACTCGGGAGAAGGTTGACAGTCGCAGGAGCAGGAGAGTGGGGTCTTGCGGAAGAGTAGGGATGAAATGGAAAATAGACAGCGGCCCGCTGGGACCCCATAAAGTCACTGGATTGTATTCTAAGTCTGATGGGATTTTGAGGGTTTTAAGCAAGGGAAATTTACATGTGAGAATAGCTTCCGCAGTGCTCGTCTGTTTTAACTAGAATAAATATGCTGAAATCTCCTCTGTCCCCAGGACTACACTTTTGTGGGAAAAGGCAGTTAGTTTGGTGTCACAGTGTCCTCGGTTGGGGTGGAGAGAGTCCATGTGGCATCTCCCGAGCCACGCACGCGCTTGCTCGTCACTGCCACCCAATGGCTTTTCCGCTCTCTTCCCTGGTGATCCAGCAGGCCGAGCAACAGACCACTGCAGCACCCAGAACACGCCAGCTCTTGGCTGCCAGTGGCAGTCAGAGCTTTGGCTGAGCGGAGCAAGAAAAGGATCCAGGCAGGAGCACTGGGAAGAGGAGGGGTCTAGACAGGAAGCCCAGGAGAGGTTCACACTTCCAGTGGAGCCCGGACAGTGACAACGCCATCCTTCCCCTGAGCGTCAGGTCCCACAGCTGGTGCCTGCACCCCAGGAACAGCACCCAGGGCAGGTACCACTTCCCCCTGCCTGGCACTGGTGGCAGCTGCCTGCGATGACACAGCCCATTCCCGGGATGCATTTCGCACAGTCCTGCCCTTCTTTCCAGTGCCTTTCAAAGCCTGTGTCAGCCCCAGATCCCACCTCCCGCTCGAGGTGTGACACAGTCTTGAAAGAGTCCGTCTGGCCTGAGAGATGGTACAGGAGAGTCTAGATGACACAAAGGCAAAAAGAAAGACTGGAGTCCAACATGAACGCATTACGAAGCAGTAAGGCACATTCACAATAATTACTGTCGCGATTAACTTAGAAACAGAGCTCAAGGGAAGTACGGAAAGGTGCGCCTTTCCCCACTGCCCTGTCACATCTCCCTCCTTGGTCCTCTCTCCTTCTCTACGATTTGCAAAGGACCCAGACTCACAGGGCTGAATCACACAAAAACGTCACCTTTATAGGTCAAAACCAGTCTCGCATGGGCAAAGTTATGACTTACCATACGCCATGGTAGGATACCTCACTGAATTCCTAAGGTGTGGCTTAAAGGGATTAAGGAACAATTTCTAAATCTTCGAATATTTGAAGAATTACCACATGGCAGAGCTTCTGATACTTAGAAACAGGTGCCTGGCACCCCAGCACACAGATGTGGGCACACAACTTCACTGGCTGACACTGCCGTGCGTGGTAAGCACATTAACCGCTGAGGGCAAAGATCGATGAGGAGGAGCCCCACTCGTCAGAATTATCAAAAGTGCAAGAGACACAAGAAAAAGACTTTGGTTAACAGGATTTAAAATAATACACATGTGTACCACTCTTTACTATTTACATTAATTGTGCACATTATTTGATATAACAATCTTATCAAGTGAGTCCATAGGAACATTTTTCAAGTTACTGGTTTGGGTTACTAAACATTTTGATCTAACAGCATTCATTATTCACTGGATCAGAAATCTATGACAAAAGATATTTATAAAACAATACTATACACATTTAACTTCTACTGGGTGTAGTTTCTCAGTATATTCTAGGTATATGGGGATATATTTTCTAGGTAAATAGAAACAGTGAAAAAGGAAATGTTTTTTTTAGAAATAATTTCTTAATAATGATTTATGTTTCTATTAGTAGTATAATCTATTGCTTAGCCAGAGTATTAGGTAATGGTTAGGAAAATATCATTTTTGAGATGAGTTATTGCTAATGTGAAAAACATGTCATTTTTCATCTATGATAATTTATTTTCTGGAAGAGAAGCTTATGAATAACTAAAGAGATTCAATTCTTCCTATTAACATAGGAATTCCTTCAAGCAATAAATAAAAAAAATTACACAACAAATACATGAGACATCCTTCAAAAATCAGCTAAGAGCGCTTCCTATATAATTTATCTCATAGCTGAACAGAAAGTTGTCTGAAAAACAACTTTATAATATATTTTATTTATAATATAAACAACTTTAAAATATATTTTAAATACTAGGAACCTTTGCCACATATAAAAGAGCACTGGAACAAATAATTTCATAAAAAATAGTTTGTAATCCCTGTAAATACAACTCCACCTTTCATTAGCTTTTATAAATATGTATTTATTTTTACACAGGAGATTTTCTTGAAGTAAACTCTTAAAACTTCAGTAGCAATAAATTTATAGTTAAATTGTAAAAAAGTTGCCAAAAGTTATTTCAAAGTAAGTTATAACAGATGGTTTTAATAAAATCATGCATTTTAAGTTATGTACTTCTTTTGCAAAACAAATATTTCCCCCTTTTCTTCTCCTTGACATTTTTCCCTTTTTCTAAAACTGTGAGGAATGTTTATATGTAGCACGATCTGAAATTTAAGAATAATCACAATTGTATATAAAAAATAATGATCACATACTAAATTAAATTAAGTGGTCCTAGTATATTTTTAGAATTATATAGTATGTCCTATTTGTATGGCACTGTGGATATAACAGTGGATATAACACTGTATAACACTGTGGATATAACACTGTGGATATAACAGAAATAGTACACTAGATTTTAGTTTTAAAGACTGATTTGTGAATAAACACACGGCAAGCAATTTCTTTCCATGGTTTCCAGTTGGAAGATTCTTTCTAATATCATTATAAGTTGTTGTAAAAATTATTTCACGTATGATATGGCAAATCTCAGTAAGATGCTAGAGTCACTTTTTAGTCATTTAAACTTTAAATAAGTAAATGCCAGAACATTTTTTGTGATTTCTGTGGCATTGCTATTTAAAGGACTCGTATTTCCACATGCTGCCTAAACTGCTTCATCTTAGCTTCAGAAAAGCGATTTGAAATAGATGTTTCAAAATCAAGGCTGACAAAATGTTGGCACCAACTTCAATTTTAAAACTTTATACTCATCATTTTGAATAGGTATTTCCGATCGACTACCATGTAACACGATCGAACACAATTGTAAAGCATTTCATTCTTAACAGTAGGTCTTTAAAATTGCACTCCTGTACGAGGCATGGCATGCACTGAAGCACAGGCAGCTTACAGAAAACCAGAGCATACATGCAAACATCAGCCAGGGTCACCTGCGCCTTTG